TCAAGTCGCGATCCAATCATGACAGCTTTTGATTTAAATCGCGAACTGAAACGATTATCACGAATTGAAAACGAATTCAAACAAGAGTACGAACAATTAGCTCAGCAATGTCAAGATTATAGTGCAGCACTACTAGCTGAAACACGTTCATCGAAGGAACTGGAGATTATCTTAAATTACGATGCAGAAAATCCACCGGTGCTATCTGAAACAACCGAGAAAATGACGTTAGCCAGACTAAAATTAGCTATACGTTATAAACAGAAGAAGGTACGTCAGATACATATAGGCCAACTCTCAGATAACTAACGTTTGTTTTTCTTTTCAAGTTTGTTTCACATTCACATTGTCAACAATTGCTTGCCTCTCTGTGGTACGAAGGTCTGCCAGGCTTTCGACGTCGTCATTCGGTGATTAAAATTCTCATCACAGCTTTTGTTGGTTTACTTTTTCCTATCTTGTCTATCGCTTATCTAATAATGCCACGAAGTAGTATCGGTCGAATCATGCGACAGCCATTCATAAAGTTCATCTGTCATTCGGTTTCCTATATTTTCTTCCTAAGTATGAACATTCGTTTTCTGCTAAACAACACAACTTTTCCTCTTTATATCTAGTTTTACTGTTTGTTGTTTCTCTTCGAATTGAGTTCGGAAAGTTACTATCAGGTACTGAAGTTGAAATTAATGAAAGACGTGGTCCACCACCCAATCCTGTGGAATTAGCAGTAAGTCAATTACAAGGATGTTTATTTTGTTTCTCCTGTACAATACACTGTTTTCGTCGTTGTAGATTATGCTCTACGTAGCTGGATTCATCTGGGCGGAAATAAAACAGTTATATCAAGAAGGTTTACATCAATATATGGTAGAAAACGACGAAATGAATAGTGAATAATTTGATCGAAGATTTATTTTAGGCGGATACGTGGAATTTACTTGATTGGATCACAAATTGTCTTTATGTTGCAACGATCGCTCTTCGTGTCATGGCATTTATTAAAGTAAGCTCGAACGAAATAGGAATGCCGCAAGGAGCAAAGAAGAAAGAGAATCTTTTGATAAGAAATGATAATCTAATCAAATTAAGATGAAGTATCATCTGATGGAAAGAATTTTCTTTTCGCTTTATTTAGATAAATCGAGAAGAGAATGAATTACAACGAAAACTAACAGTACCTCTCGGAACGAATACAACGGCAGGTGCTCATTCCTCTCATGTCCGTCATAATCTCACATCCGAGTCTATTGGAATCTCAACTGGTCACAATGTTCGGCGAGTTGATTGGAACGCATGGGATCCCACCCTAATATCTGAAGGAATCTTTGCCGCAGCAAATATCTTCAGTTCACTTAAACTTGTCTACATCTTCACGATCAATCCGCATTTAGGACCATTGCAAATCTCCCTAGGCCGAATGGTACACGACATATTGAAGTTCAGTGTCTTAATCATGTTGGTAGCATTTGCTTTTGCCTGCGGTCTCAATCAATTATTCTGGTATTACGCACGGATGAAAAAGAGCGAATGCGAAAAAGATGACGCAGGTTCTGATGATATTTGTGCTAAAGATATACACAAACATTTTTCTAAGTACGAACGTTACGTGATTTTTGTTTCTAGTCAACATTTGTCTTTTCCTTCCACAGTCTCTTCGAGTCCTTGCAAACACTTTTCTGGGGTACGTTTGGTTTGATCGATCTGCAAGCGTTTCAAATATATAAAAAACACACATTTACGATGTTTATTGGCTTACTGATGTACGGTGTTTACTCATCAATTATGATTATCGTTCTTCTTAACATGCTTATTGCTATGATGAGCAACTCGTATCAGTACATAGCTGTAAGCAAATACTTGTAATACGACCATCTCAAAATGTTTTTTTTTAATGTCTATTTAGAACTCAACAGAAACCGAATGGAAATTTGCGAGGTAAGAATCCGAATAGTTTTTTTAAATAGACCTTGACTTCTTCTTTGATTATAGGGCAAAACTTTGGACAAGTTATTTTGAAGACGGTGGAACCTTGCCGCCGCCGTTCAATATTGTTCCAAGTCCAAAATCCATTTGTTATGCTTGTCGATACTTGTATCGTCGGGTATGCGGTTGTTCAAAAACGCATCTAAGGAACCGATGGCAAAGCATTAAAGTATAAGAGTTCTCGTGAAGTTTGTAAAGCAAAATAACGATGATATTCTTCTAGAAAATTCTTCTGAAAATCAACGAACGAGAAGTTAAATATCAAACAGTCATACGTGAATTAGTTAAACGGTACATAATGAAACGTCAACAGAAAGATCAAACGGAAGGTGTGACAGAAGACGATCTAAATGAAATCAAACAAGATGTTTCCGCATTCCGGTAAGAATCCCGCGTGTTTTCTTCATTCTGACCAATGAATCTTTATTTTAGATTTGAACTACTGGAAATCTTGAGCATCAATGGGTTCAAAGTGCAATCATTGAAGAAAAATCCAGGTTTGTTGAACTGATTATTCGATTGTTTTCATTCGACTATTGAAACATCATTGGTAAACTTAGACACAGGCAAATTTGAACCAGTTGAGGCATTAACAAGATGTGAGAAATAATAAAGCGGTTTTGTTTTGCATATTTTGCTGTGATTGCATGCGTTTGAAATGCATCCTCTCTTTTTATTCAGATATTTTCAAGAGACCTTTCGAATTTATTTATTTATTTTTTTCTTCCATAGCAGCTCGAGTGGGTCGAAAACGGGGCAAAATGAATCTAGAAAAGACTATCAACAAAAATATGTTCAACGTGTCAACAGCTATTCGAGATGCGAACCCTCTGGTACCGAAAGATCGAATGAGATCTGACCATCATGAACAACATGAATCGAGTTCATCGATACTTTCGAATCCGAAGCATAAACTAGCAACACAGTTCAAACGTGCTATTACAGCGATCAAACCACGAAGCGATTCATCCAATGATCCGCCGAATTCATTGTCACACACATCAACCATCGAAAAGCTGATTGATTCGACTATTTTGACAAGTTTAATCGAAGAAACCTGTCTACCACATGGAAGAGTTGATTCACCTCGTCCGATGTCATCATCACCTACATTAACATTGACACCGAAATCACCATCATCGAGTCACATCAAATCTCAACCAATATGTTCGAATTCAAACCAAATCTTCTCAAACACGGATACTGATAATAGAACGTCAGCACCTGCAACGATTATAGCTATCGAATCACCAGGAACACGAACAAATAATCATTCGAATAGTCCCACAGCACGAATGGTCAGACAAAGTTTACAACAAATACATTCATCTATATTGCAGACTATGCATCAACATGCTCCATCACCAGCTGCTGCTACCGCCACTAATACTACTACGATACCAGCAGCAGCAACACCACCGCCACTAACATCGGCACCAGCACTAGCAACAACAGCATCAGCAGCAATAAATCTAACCCCAACGTCGACGTCAACGACGGGTACAGGTGAAGTGGCTATATTGGAAACTATATTGTAACCCTATCTTGTTTACACATACACATATCATACATGTTGCACTATATATCATTAAATGTTTACACATGTTCACACATATATGCACATTCTTCCATATACCTTCAGTATTTTACCGTCGTTCATCGATATTGTGTTCTTCGTAATTCTCGACAAGATGTAAGTTTTTACCAAAATACGAGGAAAGAAATGCATGATAGAAGAGAGCAATTCGAATTGAATTCTATACTTTCTAATTAATGACATTCTTTGTCTTTCAGGATATCATCGATTATCACGCGAAGGTCGTGCACCAATGGCATCACCTGATCCTCTTTCGATGACTTCGGAAGAGAGTTCATGTACGCCTGATTTAGAAATCCTGTGATTTACATCCGATGACGAATCGACGATTAGTTTATTTTCATGTGATATCTCTTCATTGCCTTTTTTTTTCTCTTCTTCGTTGACAACAGTATATGATTGTTTTATTCATTAGCCACAAAAGATGCCTCTATTTTATTTTCAACGTCTTGTGCATGTGTGTATATGTATGCTGTGTTCGATTGTGAGTTGCCCATTATCAGATAATGTATCTAGTATTCTAAGTATAGATTTAATATACATCTTTCGTGTGGTTTTTCTTTTTCTGTTTGTTCGTTCCTTTGTACAGGACTGCTTTGTTTCTTCAAAATATAAAGGATTATTTTCAAACGACAACATTGATAAATTTCATCTTTCAATCAAATGAGAGAAAATAAGCGGCTGATTCTGTTGACATGAGTGCATAAATCTTCACCGAACGTACTTCTGACATTGATTGATAGATCTATTTGGAGTATTGGGAATGGATTGACAACATGTCAGAGCAAGGGAAATCATTCGAGATCAAAGTAAACAAAATCTTATCAGTTTAACAAACGTATATAACGAAGAGAAACACCAATAATGGAAATAGAAGTTTGGTTTCCAGTCCTATTTTAAATAAACAGCAATGAAGTCTTTGTCAGCACACGAGTGTATCAGTTTAGAGTGACATCGTACTTTTTACACAACCGATGACAAGTTGATTTGAATGTTAAACAAAGCGTGCAAAATAGTAACGAGTAAACCTGACGGAAAATTTTGTCAAGCGGCAACAGCCACCATATGGTAACATTCATGAATACTCAATGAATTTGAATAGTGCATTACCTACAGCTTGACGTTAGTCAGTCCTAGAGCATTATCCTGCATATATTCTCGTTTTGCATGGAATGACTCTCGTAAACTGCATATTTTGAATAGAATTAGCAGACGGAATAATGAAAATGACTTGTCACACTGTTTGCCTGACGATGCATGTATCAGCATAACCAGTAGCGAGTGTAGAATATCATCATGACTAGGAATATGTATTAAACAAAAGAAAACATAGATTTCCACGGATGGTAAGATACACACAACGGAGACTTTTATGAAAAAGAGAAGTTTTCTTGTGATAAGTCGTGATTTGACACGATAATTAGCGTTTATTATTTAGACTTTTGTATTGTTGAATGAGATCTAGAATCGGAACAATGCATATCACTTTTATTTATATTCCAAATAAATACCTTCTAGTGAGTCGTCATATTCTTCATCCGATTGATCGATAGATCGACGCCAATATCTTAAATGCTTCATTGTTTCATAATATTGTTTCATCTAAATTCGAATCAATGATGATGAATTCAGCACAAGAAATGTCTGTCGACTTACTCGATTAACATAACGATCTACATCATTCTTCGTCGCAAACTTTGCAGGACGTTGAGGAACTAAAACGATCTCCGATTGGCATGAAACGCTCGATCAAATCGAAATCTACCTGGTAGTTCACCAAACAGTGGATATGATGCATGACATTTCGAAATAATCAAAATCAGAAAAAGAGCAATACAGCTAACAGCAAGCAATCGATAATTTTGTGCCATGTTTCCTACTTTGTATTAAGCTCGCTATGTGAATACAACTAGATAGTAGAGAAAGAATAGATCTATTTATATAAATAAGATCTTTTTACTTTCTCGTTCTTTCTCGACGAGCGGATCCAATTAATACTAAATGATTAGTCAGCAGTTCGTTGTTCTAATCTTTCTGGCATTCTCGCCCACTCATTTTACTACCAGAAAACTACCCACACACAGATACATGCTATAGGAATGAAAACTGTAACAGAAAAGGCATGTGTGTTCCAGACAATAAAGGCTTTGTCAAAAATGACAAACTAAACAAGACGTTACAGCACGCATATGCTAAACAGATAGTTCTAGTAACTCAGTTTTGAAGGAGAAAAGTCACTTACGGGTACAAAAAAACTGTCAGTCTCACTTTATTGAAGAGTTGTTTTTAGATAATCGAATCGTATAATTACATACGCCGACAAATTACAACTGTAAAAGCTCTGTTAAAAATAGCCGTTGAGAAAGATTTAATTGTCTATGAAAATCTCCGATAGTAATTATCCAATTTTCCAACTCTTGTGTCTGTTATTAACAGAACACATCCAAGCGTCGCAGCATTACTTCTGCTCTATCACGTGTCATAACAATGTCGTAGACGATATGTACAACATCTTTTTCGACTGGATAGAAATCTCATCAGATCTGTACTCAAATATGTCCAATGCCCGTTTTGACAAAAACCAGAAACTATACTGAAATCTGCACAGAAGTCGCGCGCGCGAACTTTTACCTATCTTTGTTTTGCTTAATATTCGATCGAATAGTAGTAATACAAATTTTATTTTTTGGCCTTCTGTAACCGACATTTTGCCATGGTCTTTCGAGATCGTCAAGGTCTCTCGCCTCAACCATCCAATGATCTTGTTCGATCACCGAATCATCGTGATCGTTACCTGGACAATTGTTTTCTATTATGTATCAATCGCGATCATGATGATGTTGAAATACCAGAAATTCGTCGATTGGAAAACAATCTCATGCGAGAATTATGCAATAAAACTCAAAGTAAATCTCAACAACAATCGAGAAGTTACTTGGACGATCGAGATGATGAGCAAAACTACGATCTCAAAAATGACGAATATCTCAATTCGAGACAAGAGAGAGAATATGAAAGCATGTACCGCCGGAGAGGCTATCAGCAAGAAAGAGCTTCTTCATCAAGAACAGATCGTTCGAGATACTATCGAGATGATACTATTGATAATTATCAATATCCCCGACCTGTGAGATATCAAAACGATTACCATATCATGCAGCACAGCGATGATGAACTATCAGTCTATGAAGTATGTCAATAATATTGACGGCAGATCAAATCGATGACATCGTTTTAGGTTTATGTACCGACCAACACACTAAATCGCATATCAGACAAACAAGTAGATAATAACATGGTTTTAATTGATTATGAAGATATATCAATGATGCGTGATATAAAAAATGGTCTAACGCCTTATGGACATTCACCACGAGTATGATTTCCGTCGTCGTTGTTTTTTTTTTCACTCTACAAGTGTCATTTAATTATAGAATATTCCTTCACACTATAATAATTATCGACCTTTAAATCAATACAATGATTATAGTCCTCAGTATCAAAATCCATACGACGGGCAATTACAAAACTATCCAACTAATAATTTATCTCAAGCGTTTCCTAACTATTACGGAAACGAAAGAGATCGACAGCCATGTAAATAGAATGAGCAAGATCTGAATTTTTCTTTTGTTAATTCGTTCTAATCATTCGAGATGCTCCACAATCAGGACAATTCTTTCCAAGCAGTATACCTATTGATCGTTCTAATGCAATTAACGTTCGTCGTCATATTTATTCACCATCGCAATTACCGCAAGGTCTAACTGAAGGACAACTTGTCATGTTATTGCAGAAAGGTAATCAATATCAAACAGGCAAATCGCACCCACCAACGCAAAATGAACCGCAAGTAAGTCGAAAACTTATCAATCAAACCATATAATGATATCCTTTACAGCCATCATCAACAACAGCAATAACTGTGTCTCACAAATCGTCACCAGCTCCCAACGGTCACCTGGAGCCTTTTCAAAATTCAGAATATGGTATGTTTTCCGTGTATCGGGTGAGCTGTCTCTTCTATATCAGGATCTGTTTTAGTTCCATCGCCACAAATCAAAGTACCGTAAGTACTTTTCTGCTGAAATTCCCTTTGTTTTATGCTTTTTCGTTCAATTAGACCACAAATAATCGATCATCACTTAACAACTGAAGAGAGGAAATCTCTCGACGATTCAGCTAAACCTATGGCTACATTGAACCCGCCGCATGCAGCGAAAGCATCCAAAGATATTGAATCGAAGGAGAGTGAAGAGAAGAAGAAAAAGGAGAAAACACATGAATCGTAAGTGTATCATTCGATCTACGAAAGAATGTGTTTGATGTTTGATTTTCTAGAAAAAAAGATAAGAAAGAAGAAAAAGAGTACGTAGGGCGATCAAATTTGTCTTGCGACGTCAGTTATTTATTGTATGTCGTCTTCTTCTAGCGGTGGTGATCATCACAAGAAAGATAGTAAAAAGGAAAAATCGGGTGGAAAAGAGAGTAAAAAGAAGAAGAAATAATTGTCTGATGATTTGTGTCGAACTTTAAATAAATAATTATCTCTTCTTTCTCTCTACATTATCATTCATTCGAGTATATACACATGTCTAATCACTATCATCGAATGGTTATATTTTCAATAGGCGGAGTCGATGATAAATTCATTGAAACGAATCTGATGAAAGCGAGACTCTATTATTATGAAATGTACTCGCCGCGGGTTTCCTTCTTTTCGGTATATGTGTATCTCGAGTCTGTTTCCATGACAGTCAGTCTATCGAGATAGGAATCGAAATGTCGATTGATAAATGTTAGTCAGCTGTTGGTTGGAGGGTGAGGAGGAGATATGTTTGTCGGCAACAAAAAAAAAACGATGCTTTCACGTTCGTTTAACCATAATTACAAGCGAATGCGATAGAGACACTCATCGATCTCTCTTTATGTCAAATATGCATTTGGAGTTAAGAAATCGATGGGAGGATCTTGTCAGAGAAATGAACAGTTTTGATGATTAATTCATATGAGAGATGATCGGAGAGTGTATAAATGGCTTACTTGTCTCTGGTTCGATCTCACCGATGAAAGCGTGGAATAGATGAACTGGAAAGGAGATTCAAGGACAATTGTGTTGTCTTTTCTAGAGAAAAACATTTGTTTTATTCATCAATACAGATGTTTCATTTGCATCGTGTCAGTTTATTATCTGTTCAGTTTGCGTCAAAGTAGAATAACAAGAAGATATAATTGGCAAGAGCGAACGGTTTGTTGTCGCTGTTGTTGTTCCGCCAAGTGTCTATCTATCTGCAAGGATGCAACACCTACAAGTATCAATCTATCTGCCTTTCGATTCCTTAGTTCATTTCTTTAGTACGCCATCAATACGCGTCCAACACAGACAAGAAAAATGTGTTAGAGTCGGTAACGTCCACCCTCGGGCATACCTCTATGCTTCATTTGTACTGTGAGAAGCGATTTTCTTTCTTTTGCAAATGATCTAATTATCATTTTATTGAATGAGAAGAAAAATTCATGGTGAATAATAAGTTGAAAACGAAAGAGAAAATCTCTGTATGTGAAGTGAGAAATTTTCCTACAAGCGATTTTTTTCATTCTGACGACAAATGAATCATCATTGCGTAGGATTTATGGACTCGTTCATGGGTGACAGTTGCGTTCGCCTGTCGATTAACTGTCATCTAATGGACTCGCACTTTCATTCGTCGTCTCGAAAAATGATTTCATTTATACATATACGTAGATATATTCATAGTTTACCTGTATGGTATGTCACACTCGTCTCTCCTTCCCTTTTTACGTTCTCGATTAATTGAATGATTGATCGTATATGTAGATAAATAAACATTAACGTCGCCATCAAGCAAAAAAGAAAATACATCGAATATCAACGAAATAATTTCCAATTTCGTTAGATCTGCAAATTCATTTCGAAAAGAATTTTTAGTTTGGCAAATGTTCTCTGTTGTTCAATATCGATCTATTCATTCGCAAAAATGCTCTCGGCTGGTGGCCTTCCAGATAGATATGTGCAAGAAAGGAAATGTCTTATAACTATGAACTGTCGCGTCATTCATCGAACTGAATGCTTTTGAATAAATATGAGTTTGCGACATGAAAATGCCGCTTTGTGAATAGTTGACTTTGATGAATCAATAAAGATACGTTTTTTTCGTATTCTTATCTACATTAAAATGATCTTGTTAGAAATATTGAATATTAATTAATATTCATTTTTTGCAAATATCCACTTGATTGAATACAGTGAAGAAATAATAGCACTCGGAATAATTATCGTTGTTTTTTTTCTTTTCTTTTTTCCAATCAGATAACATCTCTCTTCTCTACGATTGGACAAAAATGTATCTGCACTCAGTCAACCAATCTAATATCATATAGCACTTCACACGCACATAGGACACAAGAAGAAGAGAAAAAAAAAGAGAAAAGTCAATAGCGTCCGTTTGACTAGCGCGAACATCTTCTTTTCTCTCCCTCTTTCTCTCTCTCTCTCTATGTGTCTCTCGCATGAATGCATTTATCTGATTAGCCATTACATTACAGTAGAAAGTAAGAGAGAGAAAAAGAAGGAAACCTACTCATACATATATACAACGAAACACAAATTGCCTTGTACGTCAAGCTAGAAAAGAGAGAGGAATAGGTAATAGAAAAAAATCTAGATAGACGCATATCTTGTCAAAAGAATCTTGCTCTTTCGCCATATTTCTCTTCGTTTCTCGTTTTACTTATACATCGAAGAAAAACTGCTGTTGTTATCTGTGCTAACGGTCGACGCGTGTAACTTGTAGTTTCAACAAAAGATCCTATCGAAGACAAGATATACGAGTGACGAGAATAGAAATAAGATAGATATATGCGGTTATATGAAAAATTGCGCTAAATCCGTTTCATCTTTACTCCTACATTCTTTACTCGATTAGACAATTAAACTAAATGCTTATGTGTATTTGTTTATAGAAATTTGCAGATATCATGGATACATTTGAATCGCCAACATCGTCATCTTCATCATCTAATAACAACAATACGAATAACAATAACAATAATGCACACCGTAATGCTTGGAATAATTATCCTTCTGAATGTTATTCAACAGGTGTAGACTACTATCGATCGTATGGAGGAGCGCGTAAGTTTAGAAATTGTATAAAAATCTAAAGAAGAATTTTTTTACGTTTTTCAGCGTTTACGTCACTTCCCTGGATGGAATCAAGTAAATATACAGTCGGTAATTGGCCAACTCAAACATCATCGACGTTTCCTTATTCGTCTACCCATCCCCAACCGCCACATGCTCATACGAATTTCATATCATCAACAAATGCAACATCGTCGTCGGCGGCTGTGGCAACATTCGGTCAGACATACTACCCTCCAACACCACCGAAAGATCTTCCACATGATACATTACTCGATGCATCCAGTAAACAACAACAACAGCAACAGCAACAGCAGCAGCAGCAACAACAACAACAAGAATTACTCAATAATAAAATCTACCATTCACAGCATCATCCACATCAGAATCTTTTCCAGAATACAACATCACCAACATCAAGTGCAGCTGCTGCGGCAGCAGCCTACCATCATCATCATAACTGGGGTCACGTTCTGAAAGACCCGTCAATGTTTTGGTCAACTATGAAATCACCAACAGATTCAACAGGAAAGCTTTCTAATTCAAATTCGAAAAAGAAACCTAGTCAAGGTTTGTTAACTCTATATATGTCATCCAGAACAGTTGATTATCATCACTATCTTCTACATTTTAGCTGAAGGTCGCGAATGTGTGAACTGTGGAGCTAAAGCTACACCTCTTTGGAGACGCGATGGTAATGGTAATTATCTATGCAATGCTTGTGGTCTTTATCATAAAATGAATGGACACAATCGGCCATTGATTAAACCCAAACGGCGTTTAGTAAGAAACTAGATTTTCCCTGTCATTCATTGTCTTTTTTTCTTCTATTTTTTAGTCAACAGTTAAGAAAACAGGTGTTCATTGTTCAAATTGCAATACATGTACTACGACATTATGGCGACGAAATGGTCATGGAGAAAGTGTTTGTAATGCATGTGGCTTATACTATAAATTGCATAAGGTAAGTGACGAGAAGAGCAAGTCGATTTTACGGGTGAAATTCTTAAAGTTAAAAATGTGTCAAAAGTACATGATGAACTGATTTAAGGATAGAGTTGTGCTATGTCCATGAACGTATACATAATTATCATGATCAATCGCACAAACGCGTTTGAATTCATTCATTGTATTAAATACGTGACAAATTCGATTAGAGACAAAGAATACAATTCGAGACATTGTCCACATACATCATCATCATCATTATTATCAGCTTCATTATCATATTCAATTGAAAATGATGAACCGTTAGTAAAGGGAGAGGACGAGAGAGAGAGAGTATGTGTTGCAAAAAGTATCTGTTTTTCTAATCTGACGTAATAACAAAATTAGACGTTAATAGATAAACAAAATGTTTGTTATTCTTCACTCTTCGTTTCTAAAGAGATCTTTTCATTTGATAGGTTAATCGCCCAATAACACTGAAAAAAGAGAACATTCAAACACGGAATCGCAAACCAAACACGAAACGCAGTGGTAATGGAAGTTTACTTGCCAGTAGTTCATCATGCAGTATGAAAGATAAAGATCCATTCTCTTATGGACTTTTAATGAAGAATGAACCAGCATTAAATGGTTATCATGCTCAAGCAGCCGCTGCAGCTATGGCAGTTAACGGTGCATCCACATCATCTTCACCATCATCATCAGCTTATCATCAATCTCAACAAGCAGCATATGCAGCTGCTGCCGCACTTCATCCGTTGTTTTCCTCGTCCATGCTCTCATCGATCGGGACAGCCACAACCACCACAGGAACAGCAACAGGTATGTCATCGTCATCCTCATCATCAAATTCTTCATCTCCAATCAAATCATCGTATATATCAAGTCAACAGCATCATGTTGGTGTTTATCCTCCGTACTTTTGAAATCGGGATTAGTTTTGACGAGTATTCCTTAAGAAAAAAAAATTCTGTCTTATTTTTTTATTTTTTTTTCTTTGACTTTTCTTATTCTATAGAAAATTTTTTCTTCTGCGCATGTTGTATATTGTGTTTGTTCACTTATATCAAAATCTTGTTTCTCATTCTTTCTTTCGTTCGATTTTTGATCTCATTTCGTTTAATACAATACCGACAGATCTTGCCTCTAGCTCTCTATTATTTTAATTCCAGAGACAGCATAAGAACATGAAGAATGATATCGATCGTTAAATATGCAAGCTGTTGGACACTTCATGCCTCATGCTCTCTACATATGTATACCCGCTAAACGATCATCACTAGTAACACAAATATCTATCGATCGATCTATCTATTTCTTGTTGCCCGAGGACATACCATCTTCTTCGTCTTCTCCTCCTTATAACGACATTACTTTTTTTTTCTTCATTGAATCACCTAAGTAAACATCACCATATGGACACCGTTATGGTTGAGTTCATTAGTGACAGTGTATCAAAATGTAAAAGACATGACAAGGGCGGGCAAACTAATCGAAATATGAACATGTATGAAGAAAAACTTCGTGTCTATTTAAATAAATTTAAAGCAAAATTTTCGCATGTGTCGAATAGTTGCCCAAATATATATCTGAGAACTGCTTTGCTTCCTTCGACAGTGTTTCATCGATCTTCTCAGATTTGTAATCTCAATATATCAACAATATCATCATTAAGAAGAAGAAGAAGAGACCGTTAATCGATGCTGCCGTTTGATAGCATACCATTCTTTCTAGATTTTTTTCTCATTCGTATCTACTATGCTGATCATCAAGGATACACTGCCAGGTTCGAGAACAGTTATACACTCAGCTATTCTTTCAAGATCCTCTTTCTATTCTTCGTTTGATGAGATCAAACATGTCCACGTTTCAATTTCACTTTGAACACTAAGGCTCGCTTGTTTCTCTCGACAGGACATCGACGTGTGTTTTTCATCACTATCTATTCTCTCTTTCATCTCTCGTCAAACTTTCTTTTTTAGTTTCGAAGATAAATTTCTACACAACACGACACCATCTGTAGAATTGACTTTGACCGGAAGGCAATTGAACACGACACCATTAGGACTAGCATCAGTCATAATAGTGTACACACGCGAATGATCGAGTGACAAAATCGCATTTATCTCTTTTTTTTGTTCTTGTTTGATCTTCTTCTCGCGACACCTAAACACAACAGAATTGATGCGCCTCAATGAACATGAACTATCGACAACAACGATGAGAATAAATCCAACAGTTCATTAGACTTGACACGTCTATTGTCTATATGAATAGAGCAAAATAAGATAAAGGATGAATCCAATACAAAACCATGAGAGAGGGTGAAACAGATGTGTCAAAACCATATATCTCTCTTTCAAAGAAAAGTCAAGCACAAGTGAGAGAATAAGTTAAAATTAAGTCGATTAATCATGCTGCTTAACAATACGAATCAATGAATGAATTGACTTCTGTTAAGGAAGATAACCATACTGTTTTTACAATAAATGAATCATTATCAACATAACTAATTCATCATACCATAGGTATCAATCAATAAAACTTTTCGCACTTGATTTACGAAACAGAATGTTTGTCTTTTACAATCACATATTTCTCAAATGCAATAAAAACGAAATTGTTCTTTTCGTCATCGATATTCACATATGAACTAATCATGCTGCGCAATTAGCAAGATTCTCGTCAGGAATATAAACATTGCCGTTATGTTCAGTTCATTAGTACCCAACGGCGATATATACTTATCGTCGATCAATGTTCTGCAAAGAAGATAATGGTCATGCAATTCCATTGAGACGAAGTAGAGAACAAAATTTGATTAGAATCGAAAACAGCACGCAGATCGATAAACGACTACGTCATCCGATGATCATGATGATGATGAACAGATTGACCTCTTGAGAACTATTACTATTCTTCTGAACGAAACTCCCATTTCGCATCTTTTCTTTTTGACTTTTACAAAGTAATTAGTTGTTCATTTCTAATGATGATGCGGCAAGTCTAGCGTGAGACAAGATAAGAAATGTAAAAGATAAAGGAAAACGTAGAACTACTCTGGTTAGCGAAATGTAACTTTATGTATTCATATTAGAGAATAATAGCGGCATGACTTTGATCAGCGATTGAACAGAATGTTCTATCCATCAAAAACAAATCAACCGTCTCTGTTCGACGCAGAGGATGATTTGATGAAATTAATTGAGAACAACTTCTACGGCGAACGTTAGTAGACCAATGGACAACTGATCATTCCTTTCAAATTCCTCTTTAACATCAAGCTTCTTGCAAGCTCAACATATCTTTTTCAGACATCTGACATGTCAACCACAGTGCGATGAATATTATGGAGGCTATTTACACGAACGGGATCTAGGTTAAAATACGAATTTATGTCAAGAGTTTATTGGCCCGCACTCGATTACACTTGCATGAACAATGCATTTTGATATTACATTGGAAGGTCATGACACGGATTTAAGGCAGCCGGCTTCAACTGACACTCAGAAAGCCATATTAGAATAGTCATTACATGGAGGAAATAGACTTCATGACAGTTGTGTTCAACAATGTATACAGATGAGTTAAAGAGCACAAACGCCAGCGAAAATAATGCAAGCATTGACAAATTTACGTAGACTGTAGAATACCATGTTCTTGCTGGATCGGCAAATAACTGCATTTGCTCGTGGATCGAGTAGTGATTAATCGTATAAATATCTGATTGATATACCCAGATGGAAAAGTCAAGTGTAGACTTCGTCTCTCGACGGAAATAGCAAGAATGCTACCGTCGAATAGCGTCATCTATATGACAACGAGTGTTGTTTTCCTTATGAACTGTGCTTGATGCTTGTTGATGCGCCATCAACTTTCTATATTCGATCCTCTTTTGTGTCGTGCGTTGTTGTCGCTGCTCAGCGAATCTCTCGTTATCATCATCTGCCCTGGATTTATCCTTTAGATAGAGAGCAGCAGAAGTCGCCAGATTACTTTTAATCGTAAGAACAACAACAACAAAACAGAAAAAAAAACAAACATCAAAAGGGGCAAGTCAAACGACGTCATAAGTTAGTTTACTTAATTATTATACACTCCTTCCAGTGCTACGTCCGTGTCGATTTCCATTGTAGCAATTTAAATAACACCTTCTAGACGACTTTTTATGCGATGGATGCTGTCAAAATGTGTCTATTTATGATTAAATAAGATAAGCAATTGCAGAAAAACAAAAGACGGTAAACATTTTAGTTTGACTTCTTTTTCTTGATAACTCAAACATTTGTCATGCACACGGACAGATAAGTGTGACCAACGTAGGTGTCATATTCCACGAATGAAAATCAATTTTTTCCTTCTATTCGTTTCTCATTTTATAGACGCGTACTGTCGGATCCAATGAACTTTCAATACTCGACATACAACTGCAATACGATACATCGTCCATCGAATTCATTCTCTCCACAGTATGTAAAGTTGAATTCGTTTTTCTGCTTTTTCTTTTCCTAAAGGAATCACTTGGCTGTTCGAAAACGATTTAACTTTCTATTAGTTTGAACGAAGACGCTCACTGTGATAACGAGGTCAACTTGATCTTGGACAAAAAATACAACCATTCATTAAGTGAACAATCCAAAGGCAAGCTTTCCTACAAAAAACAACCAAGGTACAACAAGAAATCACACGAAATCGCCCTCTTAACATTTTCCGCTTGCATGCCAACTCGTTTCCTTCTCTCGATTTCTGTTGTATAATAATACACGTGCGTGTTCGTTTGATTGACGAATGTTTTCTTTGGCACAATGACGCAGAATAGAAATTTCTACACTTGTTTTCTTGTTTAGTCTCTCCAGTAATCAAACACATCAATATTATTTCATGCCCATACGCGAACAAAATTCGACAGCAATTGTAACAGGAAATCATGGTAAGAGTAGTAGACGACGCGCGCTAGATGTCGCTAATCTGCGCTGTTTACTTTGCCACTCCTATTGGTTGTTATGATTATCATAGAAACTGAATTTTTTTTCAGTTTACTAATGAAAACAAATAAAATTGTTCGAGGCAGATTCTGTTTTTGAATATGTTTATACTTGAATGAATTGATTGAGGAAAAAGGACGACAGAAACTCTTTTACGAATTATACGGTGACCGATAGAAAGTAAAGAATTTCATCATAATCGAACAATATAGAACATAATCTCAAATAAATTTCCCACTGACGCATTACCTTTCTCTAGATTAATCAGATTCTTTTTGTCAATAATATTTTCGCGTCACCAACCCCACTGAATGAGACAGACGTCGCGCATTCGAAGCTATACACACATGTGAGCTTAGCGATTTTCGTTTCTTTCCTTTAATATAACACTTGCAGTCTCTTCAAGGTGAAATCTAATAGTGGTAAACCTTGAAATTTCGTAGACAGGCACTTTGAGCAAGTAAACGTGTTCCTAAATACTTTATAAATCATCTAAAACCTCACACAACGACTTGAGAAATTCTTTGCTCGATTTACATAAACAAATTTGATTTACGATTTTAGTAACTGATAGTGCATCATTATTACTATTATCATCTGCATCTGATCATCAATATCCGTCCACAGTCGATGATTCATTATCAAATTATTTTTCTTCATTTACATTAGAAATGAACTCATCTGATATGACAACAGTGAATAACTCGAATAATAATTTAAGTGATGCTGATTTTGCTGCTTTATTTCTTTCATCTATTACTTCGACTACACCATCAGCTACATCGAATGCTTTATTGGGCAGCACACTCGATCACGAAACACCCAATAATACGCTCGATGACGTTTTCCTAAGTCAACTAACTGATTTAACTTGTTGTTCGTCGCCATCGATTGTTGATAAACGACAACAACCTATTGGTCCTCCACCTGGTTTCGAGAAT